ACACACACACACACACACACACAAATGAAAGACAGACCAATCTGTTGTAAGAGTAGTATTATTATGCTGTAATTACCAATAAAAAAGAATGTTATTTAATTCAAAAAGTAAAGTAGAGTGTGAGGTTTGACTCACAGTGACCAACCTTCATTGAGTGTGTGTGTTGTATCGTGTTGGTTTAATCGCTCATGTGATGCCTGTGTGCACATGGTTTAATCACCCCGGTGTGGGCGACCATGCGGGAATGACAAAGGCCACTTCCTCAGTTCTGCTGGTTAGAAAGTTGCATTGAGTCGTCGGGATGCAAATGACCTGTGTTTCAGGTCGTATTCCGTCTTTCTCTCCTCCCCATGTTTTTTTCTGTCCGTTGACTCTCAAATAAAGGAACTAAAGTCAAAACATAATGTTTGAAACAAACGAAAGTTAAACTGAATCATCAACAAACAGTCTACTGCACATGATGTGTCAGGTGAATGAAGGAGTGTGTCAGAGTCATTTCCTTCCTTGATTGTTGGGAAAAAATAGACATTTTAGAAACCAAAAAACACAATATTGTAAAGTATAATTTACCCTCTAGTTATTCCCACTCCCATGAATCTTACTGGCTCAGTCTGTCCCGGTTACACGTCAGGATTATCTTAAACTCTCCGACCTCCAGCTGATGAACTGCAGCAGGGTTACAGTGTTGAATTCCAGCTTTGAACTGCTTCACCTCTGAACCTACTTCCTCTGTCCAGGCGACAACATCCTGGCGGTGCTGAAGTACCTGGTGACGTCGGAGAGGTTGGCCGACTCCTCTGAGTATCGTCATGGCAACATGGTATTTTTTGACCTGTTAGGGTTTGTCGCGGTGGCGTACCCCGCTCGTGTTGGCACCATCCTCAACTACATAGTAGCCACGGCCACCTTTGTCTATCTGGCCAAGAAAGCGTCACTGCCTGGCAATGGGGGTAGGTCACAATTTCCTGTGCTGGATGTACGTTATTTCACTTCCTGTTCTGAAAATGTGTGTTTTCCTCTTTGTGGCCTGTTGCATTAATTTTCTTCTTTCAACATTCATCTCTCTCAGGTGGCCGCTATGTTCGAGATCTGGCCTGTGCCACGGGTGTCACAGTGCTGTGCTGGGTAGTCACCCTGCTGCTGGTGCTGATTGTGGCTCTGCTCGTTACTCTGCTGGGTCGCTCCATGTTCTGGTACAACCATTTCTATGCCTCCATCTGCCTGTATGGGGCCGCAGCCACCGGGAAAATCATCCTCATCCACACGCTCGCCAAGAACCTTTACTACGGGGTGAGACATGGAGTTTTTACGGAGGACAGTGTTTTCTAAACTCTATAACATGTAAAACTTTTTAAGTAATAACACAAAGTCAGTCTGAGTCAGCAGTAGAAACCACATTATGTGTCACTTCACAGATTTCTGAATTACATCTGTACTGAAGTTGGAAAAACCATGAATCTCGGTCAAAGGTGAAAGTTGGAGAAATATATGATGAACGATGAACCTTGTTTTTCCAGTTTTAGCACAGAGTTCCTTTAGTTCACTGCGATGCTTCCTTTTTTCTGTATTTTGTTTGAGAAGAGGTCCAAGTGTTTCCCTGAGGCTCATGATGTCTCACTTAAAGTGCAGAGAGGAGAAAAACATGCAGTTTCTCCACCTTCACAGCGATTACAAAACAGCAGCTCTTTCTGTATGTTTCTGTCTGGTAACATTATAAAAAGGTTAGATCTCTGCATGTAAATAGAAAATCATTCAATAGACATATCATGTGTTTAACTGTAGTAACTGTAAGTTTTTCTTCCTCTGGAGCTGCAGATAACAACATTAGAAACCCGAGCTTATCGTGGCCATTTTCCAGGAAGGACACAGACCAACCTTTGTCCCGCTCCACAGGCCTCATCTCTCTAATACTGAACATTTTTTTGAAATGAAGATAAAATGGATGATGCATGAGACCTCAATAAATTTCTACAAATTGCTTGGCCACTTATAATCTGGTATTCTGGTTCAGAACTGAACATACATTCAGTAAATTAACCAAAACTAAGGTTGCAAGAAGCCTGGGTGTCATATCTGATGATGATAATAACAATGATAACAATAATATATCTGTGTGTGTTTGTGTTTTCCGTGCAGGGCGTCCGACTCGTGGAGCTGGGTGATCTGTATTTTGATGTGAGTTTACTTCTGTGGTGCTGCAGCCTGGTGTGGTTGACCCAGCAGGGCCTGTGTTCAGCCTACGTCCCCATGCTGATGGTGGCCTTCCCCCTGGTCACCCGACTGCTGCTGGCCAGGGAATTTAAACACAGAGGTAAACACTCATCTCTGCAAAGTTGGTTTGTATTGTGTCTATTTGCTTTCTTTTTTCCCAAAATGTGGAACCACTCATTTAAAAAACACAGTGGATTCAGGTGTGTGTGTTCTCTTAACTTGATTTGGTGTTACAATTAAATTACAAACAAATAAAGCCAGGTAAATAAATAAGCTAAAATAAGTAAATAAGCCAATTGTAAGTTTTTGGAGAATGAGCCAATAGTTGATAATGCTCAAGATCGTCATTGATTAAGACTCTAATCGCAAAAAAAAAGATTTGAATCCATATTTGAGAGAACAGAACACACACGTCCACCTAGTTGCTTTTGTTTCCAGCTATAACTCTGTTTACTTTCAAATACAATGTGCGGAAACCTGTAAAGTCCTGTCATGTCGGAATACTGTTGCTGTCATATTGTACGTGAAAGTCACCCACTGTCCATCTGACTGAATAGAAAGCTGTTAAATTAATGATGATTTAAGATGTGGCACACCTGAAAGAATACAAACAGGATGGTCTGGTCCACGGCTTGTTCTGACAAACACTTAACTCAGTATTTTCCTGCAGGGGCGTCTCTGAAGTACAGCGTCCTCTACCTGCTGGGCCTGGCATTGCCATATGTCCATTTCATGTTCCTTATCTGGGTGGTGTTTGAGATTTTCACCCCCATCATGGGTCGCAGCGGCACAGAGATACCCCCCGAGGTGGTGCTGGCCTCCCTGGTCACCCTCGCAACCATCTTTCTCTCCTCGTTCTTTGTGAGTATTCTCACAAAATACTGTTTTTATTGCTTCAGCAGCGTTTGGGTTTTTACAGGAGGGAATTTAAAGCAACCCAGTAACTGTGTGAAGTTGACTGACAGCAGGGACATTTAATTTTTGAAAAAATGGTTTATTCTTCCCTCCAGTAACATTCAGTAATTTCTTGTCCGCCTCAGCTACATTTCATCTATTTGGTACGGAGCACTAAGTGGATCCTGACTGGTCTGGGATCAGTCTTCATCATCTTGTTCCTGTTGGTGTCCTGCGGTGTCTTCTTTCCTTTTTCAGGCAGTCCAGACAGTCCCCGGCCTAAACGAGTCTTCCTGCAGGTTCTAAATCTCACAGCACACACACACACACACACACACACACACACACAGAAGCACTGACATGCAAACCTATGAATTATTCAGATTTAAATTTTCTCTTAACTAGATGGAAACATCCATATATATATATATATATATATATATATATATATAAAGTAAAAAGTCTGAATATTTTTCTTTTCCTCATCTGATTTTTAAGACCTTTTAGTAATTGTGTGTAAGAAAATGCCTCACTCAAATGGAGAAACATTTTGGACTGAAAGTAAACCAGTAATCGTTTTTAATCAAGCTTACCTTGCATATTTTGTCAGTTCACTTCCTATTTGTTTGGTTAAATGCTCTTAATGGAAGCATGTGAGAACAGATCCATCTTTTGCATCTTTTTCATAACTATCACATATCTCTGCACAGATTGCGTTTCTCCGACTGCTCATATAAATCACAGACATCTACATGAAGTCGTTCTAGACGGAGAATGAGAATAACTCCTCTTCCCTCCCTGCAGCATACGACGAGGACTTTCCACAATCTCCAGGGACAGGTGGAGAGCCGGGACTCGGGGCTTTGGATTAACAGTTTTGACTTCACGGGCATCCAGCACATCACCCCCTACATCCCAGAGATCAACGACAGTGTCCGCACGCACTGCCGAGAGGACCGACCCTTCTGTGGTTACCCATGGTTCCTGCCAGTAAAGTTCCTCAGCAAGTCAGTAACAAAGCGCCAGCACCGTCTCCATGTTTCTATTGATTGACTAATGTTACTGTCTTCATGTCCAGACTTTTTATTCCTTGTATTCCTCCTGTGCGTATTTTCAGGAAGAACTGGTACCTTCCTGCCCCAGAAGTGTCTCCGAGCTCTCCAGTGGCATTCAGCCTTGTGTCCAAAGAGGAGACGAGCTGGGGGACAGTCAAGATGACCTTCAACGTCAAAGGTCAGTGCTGACTGGATGGAAGTTCCATGAAAGTTCCTGACATCCTCAAGCTGTTTATTACCATAATCCTTTGAATTGTTGTGAGGCTTTAAAATGTAATTTATTAACCGGCCAAAGTACGTGTGCATATTCTGTTAACTTGCCCACGTCCCACCAGGCCCCAGCCACATGTCTCTGTATCTGATGCCTCACCGAGGAGCAAGCCTGTCCACCTGGTCCTTTGGAGACGGGACACCTCAGTTTGACCTGAGTGGAGAATATTTCATCTTCTATTCTCACGGCCTCGACGCCCCAACATGGACCTTTTGGTTTGAAATACAGGTACGTCTCTGAAGCTAAAGAGACTTACAGTCGAAATCCATCTCTCTGTTGTGTATTGTTTTTTTGCTCCAGCTTCACATCTAATGTGTCGATATGAGGACAGAAATTGAATACGTGTTCTCCATCCATCCCATTCTCCTGAACTTGATATCTCAGGAATGCCTTGAGGGAATTTCATTACATCTGGTACAGACATTCACTTAACAAGGAACTGATTAGAAGTTCAAAGATGGAAGTCAGGTGTCACCTCATTTAACACATTTTTGGCCATAACTCAAGAATTCATTTGCTAACTAGCTCACACCCAACATGTTTTAATTCCTCAGCAAATCCATCATGTTTGTTTGGACATAGTTTTTAAACTATTGACGATACATATAAACAATTCATCCTTCACTAGATCCATTAAATCAGCTACAGATTTATTGCTGTTCAGCAGCTGAAAAACACTGAAACTACATTTAAATACGCTACATCTGGATTGTTATTTGGATCCGTACACTCAGAATTTTTTTTTCCTCATCAAAATCCAAACAACATTTCCTGGGAAATTGGTGAAAATGCTTTAACTCGTGAAAAAAAAGTCCTTAATCCTTTGTCCACTTTTACTTCTTTCTTGGCCTGTGTCATGCCACACGTCACCTGAGGGCCTCAGTCTGGGATGTCTGCAGGAGATTTACTCGGCCCGGACACAGTGGGACTGTGTCTGAATGCCTGACTGACGTGTGAAACCCTTTAAACTCCAGTTTTGGTGATTTAACTTGAAATGCATTAAAGGCGCAGCCCTGCGCCACTGGCCAAGTCCCACACATGCCCTCTTTAAGGAATTGCATGCATGAAACGAACTCTGTGACTTTTTAAAACCTCCATTGCGTAAGCTGCATCAAGTTGAAGACATGGTGAATTGTCTAGAGGCCTCCTGGTCTGGTTTTCCCCTCACACACTCACCTCTGCTGACATTCATGGTTTTCTTTCTTTCTTTCTCTCTGTCAGCCTCCAAGAGAACCCGACCCCTCGGGCCCTGAGGGGATGATCTCCGTCGCTATCTCCTCCCATTATTTCTTTGGGGACGACCAGCGCACTGCTCAGCTGGAGGAAATGATCCACAAGTTTCCCACGTGGGCTTTTCCTTCGTTCTGGGTCAGCACCTACGACATGTACCGATACTGAGGAGCTGCACATCCATCGTGGAGGCTGACGCTAAGAGCTGAGGGCTGCCAGGGGAGCTCCAGAGACGGGGAAAGGCGATACCAAGCAACAATACTGAGGACAGGCCCTGCTGCCTTTTTTTTTTCACTCTGACACAAACACACACTCTAACACACACTCACCCTCCCGGCCTGCCTGAGAGACCCCTCACCACTGTGTCAGCAGGCGTAGCCGCTAACCGAGCAGGAGGACGTGCTGAGACATGCCGGAGGAAAGCCGAGCTGAACGCTCACAGACTGAGCAACACACTGACCACCACAAGCCTTGTGCTCACTCCTGGATCAGTGAAACGAAGGGGTTACGAGTTTCTTCCTCTTTTTTTTTTTTGAACTCAATCTGTCGTGCCTTTGCTTTGCTCGCTCACGCCATCTCAGCCCCCTCCTCCCTCTCCCTCTTGCTCACTGCCTCCTCCTTTCCTCCCCCTCTCTCACGCCAACACACGTCCTGAATGAATTGATTCGCATGGCTACCTCCACTGCTCGTTTATCAGCAAACTACTCGGGCCTTCCTCAGAGGAGAAGTGTCTCTGCCTTCCCTGTAACAAATGACACCACTACCACTGTTTGCGCTGTAGCTACAGTCACATACTGAAGAATAAAGACCTGGTTTTAATTCACCCTCATCCCGACTTTAACTGGAAACTTTGACACTTTGAAAGTCACTTTTCATCAACGCGCGCTCGTTAAACTACGTGTTTAACTAGTTTTTGTATCAGCCACGTAAACTGTGAAATTGCTCAGTACTACTACTCCTCAGTAAAGACCACTACAGTGAGTCGCACTTACAAACGTGGCGTGCCGATGCAGAACACAAAATGTGGCTGAAATCAAAATGTCAACGTTTGTCAGTGTCCGGGGGGGGGGGGGGACTTGCGTTAATGACCCTGAACCTTGACTCGGTGTGAAAACCAGCAATGCAGCTCCACGTTCGAAGTGTGTCAGCTTCGGTTTTTGCTGTTTTGCTGTTACTGTAATAGGATTTGTACTTGATGACTTCTCTGTGCTACAACTCATCTCCAGCAGCACCAGTGAATATCTATCTGGATAATTGGTTCATTAATTTAATTGTAGTTGTGCTGAAATGTATCTTGAGGATGTGAAATGATACATTGGTGCTTCTGGAGGCAGCTCACAATGTCAGTATCCACTCATTTTATGTCTGTTCCTAATCTTTGTTCTCATGTCAAGTGGAGCTGATCTTTACTAAGTGTCACAGCTACGATCTGGTTCGTATGATCTGTTCAACACGTGATTCCACTTCACATCGTAGAAACCATAGAACATGTAAGTCCACAATGATCAAAACTTAAGTGTCTGACACCCAGTTAGCTGTTTTTTAATGGTCTTGTAAAGACTGGTTTGAATGTTATTGTTTGAGATGTTCAAATGATGTTTAGCTGAGATTGACTAATGCTGGAGACAGAGGTTATAGATTGTGGGCAGGCTGCTTCTGTTTAGTGCAAACTGGAGATCATTAGATTAATCTGAAGATGTCAAAGAATCACGATGACTCTCCTCCCGGCCTTCGGTTTTCAAAGCTGGTCGTAAAAACCTGGGAGATTATTTGCACTTGTTTGAAATTGTTTTTTTTTTTCCACTTTTGAGTTCCATCCTGTGCTTCCGTCTGGTTCCATTCACGCAAGACGAGAAACGCAAACCCGAAGGGAGGCCTGAAGAGGTTCTGCTTCCAAAGACGCAGAAAATGTTTACTATCTTGGAAACAAGCATCTCCGTGGTCTTAAGAGCTTTCAAGTTCCGCACTGTACCGCGTTTCAGCGTGAGCTAAATTGTCGTCTGTCACGTGACATAAGTTGAAAATATAAAATCCCTCAACAACAGTTTGGAAGCTGATTGTCCAGCGCCGTTTTTTTCTTTTATGCACTGCGGGAAAAACTGAACCGAACAGCTGACGAGGAGATTTAAAAGTTCATTCTTGAAATTGGAAACATCAAGTCGACCAAAACAAGACACAGCCTGTCGAGTGTTTGTTGTTCAGTCCACACAGCTGACCAGATGTGAGCAACATCATGTAGCTCGCTCTCTCGGGTTCTAGTTCCTCCATTAACAGGAAGTTTGATGAAGCAGGGGCTGATGTGAGTTTTTTATTTACATGTGAGAGTTTAAATACGACCTTTTAGCTTTTGTGTCTGATTTAAATTCTGGCGAGGAGGAGTCTGAAATTTGATTTTCAAGAAAAGTCTTCACAGCTTCAACTACCCCCCCGTGTGTGTGTGTGTGTGTGTGTGTGGATCAGAGACTGACTTTAAGTGACAGGCGATAATAGATCTATGCTGCTGTATAGAAAGTAATCCAGTTGACATGGAGGGCGTCTACAGGAGAGAAAAGCTTTATTAACAAATGTAAATGAATATTTTTCTAAAAAAAAAATCTGTTCTGTGGCGTCGTTTTGAGTTTTGTTAAGAGGGTGAAAAGCCGGAGATACTAAACATTTCAAGTCCAGGCAGAAACTTGACTGTTTTTTCTTTCTTTGTAGTTTTAACTGTGCACCCATTCATGGGAGGATTGTGGATGAATGACGGAGTGAGAAAACAGGAGGGATTATGGGACAGAGCAGTGAGATAGTAACGCTGTGAAACGACTTGTAATACAGCGCTGGTGCTCTAACCTTTTGGGATGAAGTGAACTGAAATAGTTTGCAGCAGAATCTAATGTATTAACGTGATTCACTTTAGACTTTTTTTTTTTTATTGTTCAGTGGAAACTCACTCGGACGGAGCTTTATCAACTGACCAGTCGAGGGAAAACAAACACAAACGTCCATATCAGAAACAGTTTATCAGAAATCTCCTCTGACGTATCGACTAAAATGTCTTAATGCCTTGTGTTGAAGATTTTAAGTTGAATTTGTTTTGTCGTTTTTTTCAGTTTATTAGTTATTTTCTTTTCAACGTCTTGATTCTCAGTTGTGCCCGTTTCTCTGAAAATTCAGTTTTTATTCTGAAGGTTGAGATTATTTTTTTAAACAATACTGATCTTTTTTTTTTGTGAAACATGTGACTCTTTAGATAACTTGTGTTTCTCCTGTTTTTTTTTTTTGAACTGCTGTTTTGCTTCTTTTTGTTTTTTAAAATGCTGATTTGTCTGTTAGTTGGAATTGACTGTTGTGACCGGGGGATTTTTTGGGGGATCGATCTGGTGTAACAGGGTATCTGTGATCTATGGTCTAATGGTTGGGATGATTTTACATTATGCAAAAAGCTTGAATTATATTAGCAAATTGTACAGCAAATTAAAAAAAATGCTTATTAAATGAAGATTGGTTGCACTGCCCTCTTATTAACAGCATGTTCATTTCTGGGTGCACATAGAACAACAGCAGATCAGAGCACTTTAAGTTAGTGGGAGTGACGTGATATCTTATTGGTTAAGATGCATGTGGTGGAATAAGTGCTCAACATTTTACTAAGTAGAAGTTCAAGAACGTAAAAACACAAGCACATTAACTTTTCTACTTGAAAAAAGTAAGTACTTGCTTTTAAATATACTTGAAGTATTAAAAGTAAATGTACTTGCAGCATTTAGCCTATAGCACTAGGAGGCGGGGTCTCATTGTACCTGCCCACTCTGATTGGATCAATGGACCAATTAACTGGATGTTACCAAACACACAATGTGGAAGGTCAATGCTGATATATGTAGTGGAGTAAAAGTACCAGAAAATAAATCTACTTAAGTAGAGGTACATGAAAAATGGATATAAGTACAGTAATGAAGGAAATGCACCAGATAACTCACGGGTCTCTGGTCTGCCGCAAGTCATTCCCTTAGTATCTCACCCTGTTTCCTGAGGTTGCATTTAATACGATTCAATTGTTCTCAATGAAGCCAACTAACCATTTTTAAAAATAATTTATTGATCTTTATGTACAAGGGAAAAAAACTGTAAAGTAGAAAACCAAACATGAGTAGAAAAGGCAAATGTACAAGAGTTTCTTTACACTGCATTGAGGATTATCTGCTGCTCCTGCCGAAGAAACAACACTTTTACACTGTACACCGGAGGGAGGGTGAACTGTCCACGTCTGAGTGAACGTGTGACCCCGAGAAAGTACCACGAGACGCACCTGGCTGACCCACTCCTCGCCTGCAGAGAAGGAAACCACCAAAGATCTGAAATACTGATCTTCGTAAAGAGAGAGTTACGTTTCTGAGCATTGATGGTTGTTTCCGATGAGAGGGATGGGTTACGTGTTTGTGAGGTTTTCTTCCCTCTGCATAATGACTCAAGCGCTCGATCGAAGCGATTGCTTAAAACAGAAGGCCTCTGGACGTTAAGTCTTTGGTTCATCAAGTCACCGTGTTTTGTTTTTTTTCAAGTCAAGTAAAAGCTTACAGCGGAGCAGCGAGGTGGAGCTGTAGGCTCGTTCAGGGCGGGGACGAGGGTAAAACAGGGTTTAGGCCGAGTTACAACAGTACATCGGTGGAAAGTCAATTTGCCCTTTTGTTAGAGGAGAAGACAGAAACCACAGAGGAAATCTTGACTTTCAACTCGTCTTGTATAAACGCACAAGAGAGCAAACACGTTTCTAATAGCATGATTTGGTCTATCATGAAAAGTAAAAACAAAAAACTTAGAAGAAAAAAATAAGCGGAGTAACATTTCAATGCATCGCATGACGTAATACTGACGTAACTGTGATAAACCTTTTAGTGCTTATGGAGCCAATACATGACTTTGATTAACTAAAAGGATGAAAAGTCATCAGTCATAAAAAAAATACAAGCACACGTCCAGGTATCAATTCAGCAAAGATCATTCAGCTATAATGCCAATAAATAAAAGTTAATAATGATGACTAATATAATAAAATCAAGCCCATGTGATGAAAGTCACCAAACATGTCAAAGTCCGTCAACAATACAATGTGGTACACGCGTTGAATAAATCCACACAGAAGCAGGCGGAGCAACTGCTTCAGGGATTTGATATGTTCGATGGACTGAGTGAAATGTTTGTCCTGATCAGATGATGAAGGTTCGATTACACAACTACGGTCGAGACAACGATGATTCAATTTCATCCTCTTTGTCAGAACGATACCGACGCGTCACTGTGAACACTGAGATCAAATTGTCCTCCTACAGCAAAGGGACATGTCCCAAAACCTGCAGAGTAAGACGGCTTCAATAACATGATCTTAGCGAGCCGACTGAAAAAACAAAGTGTCAGGATTTGGTTTTCACTTCACGTGTCGCCCAAGACCTTTTTTTACTCTACAGCTTTAAAGGAGACGTATGATGCTTCTTCAGGTTTTCCTTCCTCTGGTCTGTTAAATGTTTATTCTGTGTGAATGTAAAAGTTCTACAAAGTTAAAAAACCTGCGGCAAAGGCGACACCCCGTCAACAGTCCTGCTGAAACTTCAACGCTCTAATGTCACATGACGTCAAGACGCCCCGATATTTGCATCACGCACGAGATGAGCACACACCAGCTTCACCAGCTCCGCCTCCTCTCTCCAGCCTCATTGTGACGGTTGATAACTTCGATGAACTTCGACCCCCGATATTTGCTTTGCATTTGCATTTTTGAAACGGTGCCATAGCTGAAGCACAATGCAGCAACGTATGACGTCGGGGTGTTTCAGACAGAGGCTGAAAAGAGGAGCTGCAGCATCAGACATTATCAGGACAGTGATGAGTTTTCTGAACATTAGAGCAGTTAAACCTTTTCAAACAGTCACACAAATTAAAACGATGAACCTGAACGTGAGCAGGATGTGTCACTTTTAAATCCGCTCACCTGCGGAACACTGAGCGACTTTGATTTTTTAAAAACCTGGACCTGGGTCCCAACTCCCAATTCAAACAATTTTTTTACGCCTCCACTTCATCAAAGACGGGGAGGTGGGGGGGGCATGGGTGCATGAAAAATACATGAACAGAGAGAGGTACTGATCAGTGGTAAAACACGTCTGCACTCGCAACCACAGATTCTTCTCCAGAGACCGTTTTCTTCTAAGATCTTCATCACTTCTCATCACTGAATTACATAGAATTCATACCATGAACTTTTTAAAGAGGGACAGGGTGTACTTAGAAAAATAATGTCATCCTGTACACTGTTACATTATTGAAAAAGGTATCACAAAAATATTTTGAAGTCAGATGAGGTATGAAAAGTATGAAACACCTCTTGTGCGCACACTTCAGGCTCAGACACACTTCAGTGCATCTTGAAAATGGTTCACGGCTATAGAGCTTTGTTCTACGTGATGAGTAGCAGAATGTAGCATGATGCTGCGATCGATCGAACACACTCCGGTTGTTTGTCTCTGAGCTGATTCTTGTACCGTTTGATTCAACCAAAGGAAACAACAAGACGCTGACAAAAAATAAAATCAAGATTTCCGATAGCACTTGAACGAGTGCCACACGATTAGTTTTGGAATAAAAACCTGGTGCCTTCCTGCGCTGGTCCACAGCTTCCAAACACCACAACCCACTGGCGACCTTGTTTCTAACAGAACATTTGGTAAAATGAGGCCTGTTGGACGGCAGATGATTCCCATCCTGTTGTGCTGCGACATCTCTGTGTCAGTCGGGCTCTGCTGCTCTCTTGGTAGCTCAGCATCCACAGGGACTCTAGTCGACACCAAGGGCAAATCTGAAGAGTGGGTAATACTGTAAGAACCTGCAAGACGTAATTTCCGTGCATGCTTGCAAACACACTCACGCACACAAATTAAGTCAATTTCCAGTCAGCCACTGCAGTTGCTGCCGCCTCCTCCGGGTGCTCGAGTTCACAGGTTGGAGTCCAGAGGAGGCCCCTGGCTTCAGGACAGGGTGCAGTCGTAGGCTCCCTCCTCGTCCCCCTGCTCCTCTGTCTGTTCTGGGGGACTGTCCTCAGAGGGGGGGCGAGGAAAACCTCCCGCAGGTTCGAGGGAGGGCAGCGACAGGCCCATTGGAGCCGTCGCTCCTCTGCTGTCCTCGGGTCGGGGAGCGGCAGCGCCTCCCAGACCTTCAGAGCCTCCGAGTTTGGAGCTCTGGCTGGTTGGCTGGAAGGCTTCAGGCAACACCTGCTCCGACGTCGAGTCCATCAGCTGCTGCAGCTGCGGCTGGATCAGGTTGAGAAATGGTTTGTATCCCAGGCTGGAGATGAGTCGAGGGACAGAAAAAAGTTTAGCATGAGGTTCACATACATTTGTTTTTATATAAATATAAATAAATAAATGAATCTGTAATAGAAACAAAGATGATAGAGAGATAAAGATTCAAACAGGGAACAAACACATCTGGACAGGTTACACCCCCGTGTTATACCAACCAGTCAGTGGAGGCCCATGTGTCGACAGCCAATAAGCCGTTCCGGACATACTGCACGGTTTCCTGGGGAACCTCTGGGCTGTCTAGGAAGCTGATCACCTGCTTGATCACGTTTGCATCCCGCAGGATCAAACCTATCACTACGCACCACTCCAGACAGCCCGCCTCCATGAACACATGGAGCAGGTACCTGACGAATACAGAGAGGAAGCAGCTGTCGAGTTACTGGCTTTGGTTTCTTGTTGAATTAAATCAAAAACACAAACTGAGACAGTGGACTCACCTGAGCTGCACCTGGGACTTGTGCGGGCCCTTGTTTGCGAGCTCCATGGAGATGTGCTCCAGCTCGGCCTGGCTCAGGCTCAGAGTGGACGAGTTCTCGTCGACCATCGTCCAATCGCCATCCACCACTGAGCTGGTTTCTGTGAGGTCTGTGGCCGAGCCGATGCTGTACTCCTCCACTAGAGGGGTGAGAACGGGAAGAAGGGGTTAAAAAAAATAAAACCAGATCACCTTTTGCAAACATGTGAGTCTTTTTCTGTTTCATGAAAAGGTCGGGGATAACCTTTGTTGGTGAGCAGAGACAGGAAGGCGTCGTGTGTCTGTGGTGAGTGCTGGTTGGAGTGAGCCGACGAGGCCGTGTCCATGTCTTTGGCCCCCTGCCCGAGCCCGTCCAGCCAGGTGTTGTTGGAGGGATCTGCCTGCGGGGGCACTGTGTCCATGTCACTGTTCAACAGGCTGTCAGCTGACTGCGACTTCAACAGCCGTGTGCTCAGCACTTGGAGCAACGACAAAAAACACACAGCATGAAATATTAGTATTTTATGAATGCATGAATTCTATTTAGAACCATGGATTTCTAAACTCCACTGAGCTAAGCTTTTAGAAACATTTAAAAAACAACAGCACTTGGTTATTTGTGTTTGGTTTAGTTCCCTGGATCCCTTCACTCACCTGTGCGACACCGTCCGTTCTTCAGGGGCGAGCTGAGGCTTCCCACGGGAATAACAGGAAACGGCCAGAGGAAATCCTTATGGAGCCTTTTCAATGCCGAAACAAAATCATCAACGTGAGCCACGCGGTTCCGTTCGCGGCACAACCAGCCAATGAGCTCGAAGCCCAGCTGTGCCGAGAAGCACCCCAGGTCGCGGAGGCGCACCTGCTCCAGGAGGTGTCGGGCGTGACGCCACAGCATCATATCAATATACATGTTTTCTGCACACTCCACATCTCGACTGTCAAGAACCAAAGCAGGGAGAAGGACAAGAAGAACACAGTGAGCCAAACAGACTCAATCAATCACAACCTCCAAAATGTGTGTGTGTGTTTGTCTATACCCTTTAGCAGAGGGTCCAGTGGGCATACTGAAGGTCTTCTGCAGGTTGAACTTTCCTGTAGTGATGGAGTCTGCCGACTGAGACAAACTAATGCTGCGATTTCTAAAGAACTCAAAACCTCCAGTTGAGCTGGGTTCCTACCACAAAGACACACACCATTAAGTTCATTATGTTTGTATTCATAATAATATATTATAGTTCATAGTGAAATGTTTAAAACATTTGAGCTGTTTCATTGTTATCTGATGACCAAACTCTTCTTGTGAGCTTTCTGATGTTATGATGTGAACATTATTGATCAATATATTAGTACTGGCCTCACAGTAGGAAGCTTTATGTCATTTAAGCATTGATTTTGTACCATATTTCAAGACATTACTTTTTTAAAATTAGGTTTGGGCTTCCAGACACACTAAGCCACTGATGACTAAGTTTAAAAAATAAACTTCTTTTTTTTGCCTGGATTTGGACACAGCTTAAGTATGAAGTGCAAACATTGTCTCTTCTAGAGATGATTTGAAGTTGCTCACCTGAGTGGTGGGTGTTGGGGGCGGAGTCTCCATCTCCCCTGAACCGATGGCTTTGAGGAATCGGATCATGTGCCGACACAGGTCCCACTTGCCCTGTTCCAACGCTGTGTTGAAGAGTAGGGTGGCGTGCTGCCTGCTCACTGCTGGAACCTCCATGTTCTTAAAAGGGGGGGGGAACAAGAGACAGAGACAATGAGCACTTAATGTTTTCACGACACCCTAAATAACTCAGCCAGGTTCATGGGGATTTCATTTATTGTGGGACGATGGATGTGACTTATTTTATTAAGATTTCTGTCTAAGCCTGTTGAAAAGCACATCCCCAGTAACTACCTGCAGTATGATCAGATAAGAGGCTGCTGTGTCCAGGTCTTGAGCCATGAGACACTCCTCGAACAGATCTTTGGGGTTTCCCACAGCAGCAAACAGGTAGTTCCACAATGCGTACTCCGTCTTCCTGGCGCAGTGGACAATGGTCTGAAGGAAAAGGGGGAACTCTGTGATGAACTTGGCCACAGTGGGCAGCAGAGGGTCTGGGATGGGCTCCCGTGATGTTGCCTCTTCTTCCAGGACCACATGCACCATCAGCTCCATGACATGGGGGAAGTAGGGGAGGGAGGCACATGACTGAGCCAGCATCAAAGCCTGTGGGGGAGGAAACGTCAAGGAAAGGAAAGAATGGAGTGAGATTGTGTGCAGACTGTATGACTCGTTAAATTGTGTGGATTTTTCTCCAGCAGTCCTATAATAAGCTGAAAGATGAATGAAGAGGAGGCTCCACGTACCTGTTCACCCAGGTTGCGAACCAGCAGCTGCCTAAGGATGTGGTGGAGGTAGATCTGGGAGGTCCTCTCTACTGTGCAGTAGGGAAAGAGCGCCTCCAGTGGCTCTGCTGATCCCTGCAGTCCATCGTAGAGCACAGCCTCATTGGTTGCCCCCAGTACCAGGGCATCCTCAAACAGTACAGCCAGAGGATAGATGTTGATGTGGAATGGCAGCATGATGCGTCTGGAGAGGAAGGAGTGGGGCTTGCGGTGGTCCCGGGGGAACAGAGGCAACCAGACTTTCATGCCTGCTTCGCCGCATGACAACCACAGGGCATCCAGGAGGTGGCGCTTCTTCCTGTTGGAGCGACAGGTGGTCCACACATTCTCCACACACTGGGCCAACACCACAGGAGGACAAAATGGTAGCTAGGGACAAAAAAATAAAACAAGTTACAGGGAGTCCTTAACAAATATGTAAAATCAAAAAAAACATTTAACAGTGTTTCCACTCACCAGCTTCTTGTTGTTAGCAGGTGTCTCCTTCTCTCGTACCTGTGGACCTGAGCGGTCCCGCTGTAGCATGATCAACTGGCCAGCCAGATTCAACATGATGCTTTCTGCCATGCAGGCCTGAAATAGACACACACATATAAATCATGAATAGACACACAAACACAGATATTTCATGTTTGTGAATTTGTGTAAATGGTCTTGTGTTACCTGCTGCGGGGCTTTCAATGTAATGCCCGTCTCTGTACGCACGGATGTGAGTGTGACAGAGACTACGAGGGCCGGGTGAGGGATGTAGCGAGACATCGACACCTCCTGCAGCAGCTCCACGCTTGCTGACGGGTTTGGGCTGGACACATGCAAATATGCACAGTGAGTCACACTTCATGACATCAAGTTAAAAACACATTATCCATGTGAAGAACAACAGGATGAAGACTTAGAGGAGTGTTTTAACAATAAGGTGCTTGAAAAAGATTGAGGGAACGTTTGAGAGGCAAAAGAATATGACTGAGGAGAATTGAATTTTCTTTCTGCTGAAGGTGTACGATGAACTATTTCCTGATAACATTCAGCCTTTTGATTAAACTAGAATTTAGACAATGATCTTTCTGACACTGGCGCGACACTATTATAATACAAACTATGTCAGACATAAAGCTGAGGTCCAGCTCTGTCATGTGATAAGTTTTAGGTCAACAGCTTTAACTAAAATCCTCTTTTCCCAAGGGAGCAGCCTAGTAGCACATATATCTAACACTTTTATCACTACTGGTGCCAGAGTGTGGGAAATGAAGGAAACTATGCTGAATGAGCAGAAAGATCCAGTTTAGAAAAGATACAATCAGCACTTAACAGTAATAACATTTGTTTCATGAACATTGACCAGTAGTGTGGATTAACATGAACATAAAGGTTGTAGAAGGCAAAGCCAGGCAGAATTCCCTTTGGATTTCTTGTGGAGAGATGCATGTCAGATATGTAATACTGAATCATCTGTAAGTGGAAGCGTAACATGAGCCCACCCGTCATTCCTCCTCTCAATGCTATAGAGGCAGATGGAGCAGTCGGCTCGAAACAAGATGACCATGTCTCTGAAGACGTTGAGCAGCAGAGTGTCTGAGTGCAGCTTAGTGACCGAGGCGAAGGCATTGTCCAGGTTGGAAGAGCGTTGATAGAGCCTCAACTTGTGTCCACAGAGGGAAAACAGAGAAAGACGTCATGATGAGACGAACAGAAACCAAATCATCATCATCATCATGTGTGAGGATGGTGTGAGTGGGGATTCAGCCTCACCTGCTCTTGCTGGTCTATAAAATTGTAGCAGGCCACCACCACAAAGTCGTTCCACCAAGCCAGACCTCCCGTCACCGTCATGTTCTGCTCCTACACAGAAATACACACACACATTAACATAATTGACAACAAAACAAAAGAAGTGTATACATCTTAATGATATTTTGACAAAGAAATCTCTTCATGAATTGTAGCTTGTGATAGAAAAGCTTGCTGTGCAACAAGTGTTACCCTGTTATATCTGGGAGAATCTAATAAGAGGAGAGATTATTGCTGACATGTTCAGTCTAGACAAAATAAAATGACTATTGCTTTAGAGTTAACACTTTCCAGGCACCAGCTGCTCATTTTTCATAACACTGATGCCATTCAGAGACGGTTAAATGCTGATTTTTGTCCTCCAGGACACAGCGTTACTTACCTGAGTGATATTTCCAAACAGCTTCCATTTCCTTGTGAATAAGGAGTAGTGTGCAAAACCCCGCCTTCCTGCTACAGCCATGCACTGGCCTGCTGTGTCTATGGCTGCAAACTGTACATAAACACACACACAAGTTCAAAATGCAAACAATATACAATAAGTGTTGACAAAGAATACTCATGGGGAGAACTTCCAATGACAATTTAATAAACGTTGAATATGACTCACCCTTATCGGCCAGTTGCTCTCTAGGTATGTGCTGTGGATCTTGAGGAAAGCAAAAGGAAAGAAGAATTAGAAAAAAATATGATCTACATTGCACCTATTTTGATCATGTATTGATTTATTCTGGGAACCAGAATCCAGAGAAATAAGTCAAGAATCTTGTCGTGCATCCTCACCTGGACCACGTGCCAGTGCTTGTGTCCCAGTAAAGTGCTGAGTCCCTGAGAGAGAGAGGATTCGGGTTTGGGGGCGTGGTGCATTGGGCTGCCATCGCATGGGTGCAAGTGTGTGTGCGAGTCAGAGGTGGTGTGGACCTGCGAGGGGTCACCGCAGGTCAGGTAGAGGCGGTCTTCACCATGGAGTAACACCTGCTCCTGGTTGCTCTGCACAGTCGAGAGAGCAGCACACACAGCATGAATTGTTAATGTTGACGTGCATTGAGTAGGTACACACAAAAGGTTTATCATCTGTGTCTCTTCTCACTGTGCAGGGGTTGACTGTGAGGGCACTCTTGATGAATTGGAACTGCAGTATTCCGGCCTGCAGGGAGGACTGAGGAGGTTCCACCATCTCCATCTCCTCCTCCTGCTGCTCTTCCTGCCGTTTTCTCTCTTGTTTGTTAGGGAGCACCCACAGGTGGTAGCCCTCTGCTCCCCAGCTCTGTGATCGGCAGAGTGAAACTTTCAGTATGAACCATGGTAGGAGAAAATACATTTTACATTTAACTGGTAATCTTTTTTTGCCCCGCTATGAGAAAAAAAAACCTAACCAATATGTAGAGAGATTTTAATTTGCAACAGATAAACCATGCAATCGAGAAAAAACGATTATTCTAATTGGAGCGAATGGAATTGCTTCTGTTCCACTTCAATGAACTGCAATTTGTTATAATAACAAGATGGATGAGTGAGTTTAAGCCAGAAAACACAATCACACCTGAAACAAGCTGTGGGCGGACTTTCTTTTATTGTCATTATTTATGATTCTTTTAATTACTTACTCTTAGTGGCCTTAAGTCTTTTCAATATTTAGTAATCAAGAGTTTTATTTTAAAAAAATGTTTGTTGTTGGAACAGAACTAAAACTCCACTAACCATAGAGCAGATTTTAATGGAGTCCTTCTTGGTACCATCAGAACGATACCTGACGTGGACGAAAAATACAAAACTATATTAGAAATTCCACAATTAGAGGAAAATGCTACAGATGTACCATTTGTGTACAGATGTGTGTCCACCTACGCAAAATCCTCTCCTAGAGTGCAGATGAGGTGAGCTCCGAAGACACTCCACAGGGATAGGCCACCGCACTCCCATGTAACCATGACAACACTGTAGTCAGGTGACCAGCAGATGAGTTTGACCGGGCCCGTCTTGTTGTAGATGTCTGAAGAGGCAACGAATTCAGAGAAATTAGAGTTAAGTTCAGACTGTTGTTGACTTCTTAGTAACACATTTTTTTCAAATGACACGTTTGAAGCACTGAGTTATTACAGTCACATAATTTATTTGAATTTCTCACACACATTTCAGTTTGTGACCAAGAATGTTTTTCTATTTGTCTTTTTGTTTCTTTTGCTGAGCTCATTCATGTTTTGTTCTTTGCTTTCCAGTGTAACCAGAGGCTTTGTGGTTACAACAAATCAAACAGAAACTGAGCAATTTTTTCTGTTAACTCAAGCAATAGCTGAGAAAAGCGTTTTGAATTTAATTTACAATCTTCCAATAGCCACAAACAAGATTCACAGCTTGAAATTGAAAACTGTATAAATTTATAGCCAAAACCGCTACCTTTTAAATTAGTACATACCAAGACTTTTTAAAGGAAACTTTATTAAATGCCTTTATAAATATAAAACTCGATAAAATTATGAATTCAGTGGCGGACCTACATGGCAGCTCAACCACTAGGTGGAGCCGTGGCTTTAGATCCCATTTTAGAGGTCTGACTAAACAGATGTGAACTGAGAGGAAACATAGACGTGTATACCCAAGAGGGAGAAAGCTGTAGGAATGTGAGTTATCTCAGAGAGGACTGTGTGTCGGGGTTAGAGAGACAGAGCGACAGATAAAGAGAGGAAGGAGACTAGAAGAGATACGTATGGATGATACCTGGGTAGTGTTTTGGTGTGAGCTCCAGCTTGTGGGAGAGCTGCATGGACCCCGTTGCAGTGTCGATCATGTACACGAGCACTGAGCCACTGAAATGAGAGCAAACACACTTAATTTTAAGATTTAATGATCAGTGCTGCGACAGGGGCAGTGACCTCTGGCTGTAATTTGGAGTAAATACCTTCAAGCTACATTTCTCTGCTTTGAACAACTTCCAGCGTGTCTGTGCACTCGACTGCACACGCATTTGGACACACGCAAGCATGCACATACCTCTAAACCAACAACGCCAAGGTCAAAGTATTTCTACTGTGTGTCATAGCAAACACAATAGCAAAATGTTATTCTTCAGCCGCCGCCAACTGATATAGATGTTAATTCAGCAGCAACCAGCACTTTCATTTGCATTTAACTTGACCATACTGAGCTGTGGTTTGTCCCTGTGGCACAATGACCTTCATTTTCTTCTAAAGCAGTTTTCAGACATGAACCCGAGGTCAGATGCATTCACAACAATGGGAAAGTGTGCAGAACATTCAGGCGAGAGGTGGAGTCTGGGTGGTGCCTGCAGGAGGCAGGACATGACACATAACTTCCGCTGCAGAAAGCACAGTGGTTTTGTTTATAGCTCATCCACACTGGTATCAGCCATTATCACCAAAAGCTCTCGAACATTATTACCTTCCCAAGTTGAAATCGTCGTCTGCGTTCTCTACGTGAATGGCATCTCTTTTTCATCATTTCAAATATTTTGATTCTTCCAATTTAGCGGTGTTAAAACGCCATCAACACGCCCACTTGTTCGCTTTTTTTCCTGCTGTATTCTTACACTGACATTTACTATGAGGCTGGCAAGAAAGATTCCAGAAAATGTCCAGGGTAACTGACTGACATTTGCATTCTCACATTCGGTGCATCCAGAACATTTCAGGACAATGTCCAGTGCATGTCTGAAAACAGCTATACTGTCTGCAGGACTGTTTGAGCAAGAATCACATATTATTTCCGGAAGGCACAAGACACAAACAAAACTGAAGAAAAAGTTGAAGAGGGAGAGAATGTAGCAATGAGGAACGAGTTTCTGACGAGCACACATGAGGCAGCCTCTGCAAACACAAACTGACGGATTCTCACAGTGGACACACACCACATGGACAACAATCGCTCTCTGTAACACACATATACGCAAACAAACGCACCTCTGTTTACTTCTCAACACTGTTTTGTGCAGACACAGTGAGAAAATGGGACAAACACATACCTGGCACAGCCAAAGGCCATCAGTCTGTACTTGTTGTTGACAGCCACACAGGTGCCATCAGTGACATCTGCCGCAGAGACACCCTGCAGCTGCTGGAGACACACACACAAATACAAAATCATTAACAATTACAAATAACTATTTGTCTGTATGATGTCAGTGGTTTAACTGCTGTCTCCCGAAAAACACATCACTTTATACAACTTGATGTTGACGTCAACGCCTTCTTTTCAATTTCATCTAATTTCAAGCCAGTATTCCAGAAAAACAAACAAAAGGCATCATTGCTTTAAAAAAGCCAGACAAAGAAATAGCTCCAGGTCCTGAACTGAATCCTACGCATCACCAGTTTGGACTTTTGTCCTCCATAAATGGTTCTGTTGCTGCTTTCATTTTTAAATCTAACTTTACCGAAACCAGAGAAGGCTCAACAACAACTCTCAAAAAGAACAGTGCGTCTATCTGACTTCTATTGATAGTTTTTACATCAGTTCCTAAAGTAATATTAAAATAGATTTTTTTCTCTACACAAAAATAACTTGGACCATGGCGAGGTAATAGATTCCATTAGCTACACGAAAGCCAAACAGAAATTTCAAATAATTTGCAGGAATAAAGGATATTATCAACAGACAACATGTTATTCATCAGGGTTTTTCCTGATTAAGTTACACATGACTTGACTCCTCTGGGTCATATGCTAATTTGCATAGCGAAAACATAAGCTGTACCAAATGTAGGCCATCTGCAAGTTTAAAGATAAATCAGAGACGTATTAGTTTTTAAAGATCAAACGTATTAGACACTTTAATCATTTGGGTGTACATCATGTGTTTACCCTTCATGAAGCTGTGTAGATATTTTAACATCAACTGCGAGTGTACACGTGTGTCTGCGAGTGTCCTTACGTCTGCGGTGATGGTGTTGTTAAGCGGTGTGATGAAACCCAGGCGTCCATCGCTCAGAACCACGGCGAACCCGTCCAGGGTCAGACAATACTCCATGCAACGGATATACACTCCCTCCAGGTCCAGAGAGGGACCACCTACACACAAACACCTCCATGATTTCAGACACCTAAACCTTAACAATAACTAACACAAGCCTAACCTGACAGTTATTGCTTAGCTTGACCTTAAAACATGTCCCCACCACAGGGGGACTTGCTTAGACAAGACAAGTCCCCACAATGTGACTGTGTAAAGAGATTTAGGTTCTCACATCATGAGAAACACCCCACACACAAACATAATACGACAAAGAAACTGAATCAGGAGCTGCAGCTTATAATGGAAACTTAAATAAGGAAAGAGAATTTATTTCTCAACACTATCAACTGTAGCTTCTTTTTACACTTTCATTAGCTTCATGCACAGGTCTTCTCTAACCTCGAGCAGACTGCAGGTCCAGCGAGAAAGGGATCGTAGTAAGGCAGATGGCCTTGCGTCCGTTACTTCCCAGCCCGTCCCAGTGCAGCACATGGAGGTAGCCGTCTGCCGTGCACACCAGCAAGTCCTCCTGGAGGGACTGCAGACTGGTAAGAGGAAGAAAAAAACAGAAATGATTATTTTGATTGAAAAAAACGGAATAGATAACAAAAGACAGGGGCAGTTTGTAGGAAGGGCGGGAATAAGATAAACACCAGAGTGTTAGAAAACAGTGGGCTAGTCTTCATCCAGCTGTGCCATCTGAGTGAAGCCTGAAAGTTTTACTGGTCAGCTGCGACAAGGCCAAATAGCTGCCAGTGCCAAGGCTCTCTGTCCTCTAACACACAAGGGAACAAACAGCGTGTGCGTGTGTGTGTGTGTGTGTGTGTGTGTGTGTGTGTGTGTGTGTGTGTGTGTGTGCATAGCGCTTCATTGTCTCTGGCCTGAGGATGACACAATGGGACAAGCAAGGGATGAAAAGCAAGGGTGGGAAAAGAGAGAGAATAAAGGGAGACAAAAGATGTGAAGAACAGTGGACTTTCACTGTGGAGGAGGCAATGACTTTTATGGTAGTTTCACAGCAGGAGACGCCTGCTCATCTCCTGCACCATCAAGCTGTGCCTGTGAAATGCAGACGGCGCACATTCGTTCGGGATGATTACCCTGTAATCTAGTGCAGACTGCGGAGGAGATGTGACAGATGAACAGAGGCAGGAGAGACGCAGATAATAAGAAATGCAAGATAAATAAAAATATGGACAAAAAGAAATTCGAGGAGAAAATTGGTGGAGTGACAGCTCTCGTCACTCTGCGAACAAAAGGCGTCAAGTTAAAGGAAGTGGGGGTGATTAGAGGGAAGGTGAAAAACAAGAAGAAAGAAAGAACTGAAGTTAGCAAAGACTGAAATCACGAAGGAGAAAACAAAGAGGCAGCAGTCAAGAGTTTTTATTATCATTTGTGGACTTTAAATCCACCACAGGCTTTAATGGTACAAAGGAGAGTTTGTTTTTGCACAATGGCAATTATACTAATTATTGACTAGGATGAAAATTTAATGATTTGCTTAGAAAATGTTGTTTTCTAACTGGGTGTTTTTGACAGCTAGAGAAACCGAAGAGCAATGTGTAATAAATAATTGGAAAAAGAGAGGAAACATATCGTTTATTGTTGTTTTTAAAAACCTTTACAGAGAATGTGCAGGAAAAAAACACAGCCTCTTAACATTTTATGGAGCTGGCTTTGGAAATGACAAAATAGAAACCCCTCATTTTGAGTAACAAGCAAGCGTAGTCAAGTTATGTCACGGCTAAATTATATTTAACAAGATTGACCACTCATGAGTCTCATTAAGGACTAAATTTTCTCTAACTTCTGATTTAAGTCACTGATGCTTCTGTGCAACACTGGGGATGAATGTGTCATCCTTTCCCTACTTTAATGACTAAACCCTTCCACCACGCATCTGTCCATCACTCTTCCCTCTCAGCAACTCTCCGTATTTGGAGATCCATGCTACATTACAACTAACACAGAGTGAAGGAGGGTGGATTCTCACTGCAACTCAACCACCTCTCACTAACAATGTCGAATTTCCATGAGAGGAAGGAGAGAATCTTTTTTTTTTTTTTTTTTTTTTAGGGGCCACAAGTCTGAGCCAAATGCTCTGAACAGATACAGAGCATGGGTAACATTAAGCAGCTACAACAATGGTGGAATTTCTTGAAATGGCCACTGGGGAACTGCCTGAGGTAAATCAACATATACGCAGTTCAAATCCTGCAGTCAGAACAGTAAATTAAAGGTACTGAAAGGCAGCTAGAATAACATGTTCCATTTTGTTTTGACTTGTTTAGTTAATCAAGCCTTTAGTGGAAGGCTTCTGATATAAGATCTGAAAATGTGTTTACAGGAAAATGTACACACTGGTGAAACTGTGGACGAGGGGAGGAAGCATTAGATTCACGGTGATATTGTATACTGCATACTAAATGTACTGCATAATGTATTTTTTGGTGGCTTCTTTGTGTGCATATAGGGTTTGTGACACATCCATGAACTTAAGTATATGTAGTGAACAGGCAGACACAACAGAATGAGAGAGACAAAGGACAATAAGAAAGTATCCACCTGGTGATGGGGGCCTCCAGATCCACAGGCTTCTTCATCTCTAAAGACAGGGCAGGGGCACATTGCTCTTCCTTATAACCTGGGGTCACTTTCACACGTGAACTTCCCCTGTGAAAACACATTAATACAAATTGATGTATTCGTTTTAGTCATGTGTGAAGCAAAGTGCTGAAAAACCAAAATGCAACTGATTTTCCACATGAAAAAAACATTTCACAGGCACTTTACAGGCCCAGACTTGCCCCACCTCTGGTGTTATGTTGTCCAGGAATGTGAGATGCACTAATCCTCACACACTACACACACAACTGCAAACACCACAAACACACACACAATGTGGATGCGTGAATGATACAAACCAGAGTTCAGTAAAGGAAAATAACAAATGCAGAGACACTGTTTTTTCCTTCACATACGTGGCCATGTTGTATATTTGTCGCATTAGCTGAAGCTATCGTAGCTTCTAAAATGTCACTACCTGCTTTCATCAACCATATAACCATAAAAACACATAAAAGTCATGAGTAAACAAAGCTATGTTGCAGGTTTTAACTCTGGTATTCCTCCTGGCATTGTTTTCCAGCTGCTCTAACGGACAGATGCCAACTGATGAAGTTTCACTCTGAGTGTAATGAGGAAGAAACTGCAGAGAGCCAGAAATAACCAAAGAGTAAAAAAGCTGTCAAGGCTGTGTTCATTTAAATTACTTCTGTGTCTGTTTATAATCAGCCATGTCATTATACTATGTCATAAGCAGTCACAAGGTAGCAGGGATAAAATTGTGATGTCTGCTGTTTCAATAGAAACTGTTTTTCAGTGGTTGCGTTTTGTATATGCGCCATTAAACTCCCAGTAGATACAGGTAATATTAAATATTCATATAACACAATTAATTTAAGGGAGAATTTGTTGGAGCGTCCCTGAAAGCTTGGCTCACCTTACATAAACATGTGTGTCAGTTTGTATGTGCGCTGCACTCACTTTGGATAGACAGGCTCATAGAGGTACTTGTCATCCCCTCCACCCAGCACGTCAAACAGGAGGATGTATCCTTTGGCAGTCTGAAAACAGAGAGGAAGGACTCTCATTAAAAAAACATATATAAATATAAATTTACACTCCTTTATTATCAGGGAGTTGGGAATAGAAGACACTGAGAAACAGGCTGAGAAACAAAAAAAAGCAATTGGGATGAGAATAATAATTTAAAAGTAAAATACAATTTTATCACTTGAATTTCATCACAAACTTGCACAGTCATTCGGTGGCTTTTCATGCAGCCAAGGAGAGAAATAATGCAGAGGCTGGAGGGAAGAAAAGTAAATCCCTAAATAAAATCATCAGCTAACGTTACCATCTTAGAGGAGAAAGGGAGACAGACCTAGTGCTTGTGTCAACATTCAGACCAAAAATAGCAGTGTTGTGTTGGCGTTGTGCAGTAAACTGCCTGCAATGTTGTACACGTGTGATGGCCAAAACAGGCTCAGAGGCAGATGTAGATCTAAACCGCTGTTAGTGTTAATTTGTCTGAGGAAAGGTGTGGGAGGCTTGACTGAAGCTGCAGCTCTGACGTAGAAGTCACTGTAACTCGATGTTAACCGCTTGGCCCAGATTCTGCTGCATCGTATCAATGACACAGTGCGTCCTTGCTAAAACATCTGATCGTGCATTTTATCTCAAGAAAAAAAAAATCCAACACTTTTAAATAAAAGTAAATGTGCCTTAGAAAAGTCACACAGTCAAACAATGAACACTCTTTTTAATCAAAAAAGATCAGCAGTCTTTTTCTGTATTTTTAGGCTATTTCATGCTAAGGTTGTTTTCAAAATATTGTATGAACTACTTTCACAGGTCCACTGATCAGGAATTTTGAAAACTCAATCTAAATTGGGTAAAAACTTCATTAAAAATGTCAACTTAGCCTTTTTACACACTGCATCAACTTACTGACTACACATGCACGTCTAAACTGCTGCTTTTGATGATAATGATGCCTGAGAAACAAATTAGTCAGCATTTAAAAACAGCAGGCACACACACCCACCCCCTCACACACACCCACACCCACCCCCTCACACACACACACACACACACACACACA